GTTAATTAGGTGCAGTGCTTCGAGACCACTTCCTAAGGTCTCGCACCTAATCTGGTGCGAGAGGCGCAGCAGATCCTGTGACTCAGGCTGCCCACCCCCTGCAGCAGATCCCGACACACTCTACAGACACATCCCTGACAAGTGTCCTGCCCTCCAGCCTGGTGTCTTTGTTAATACAGCGCTCTGCAGGAGACGTGTAGGTGTCTTCACATTGTACAGCAGGCGGAACTCAGGGGTCGCTCTGGCACTGCTCCATCGGGAGGTCTGAGGAGTTGAAATGCATCTGGATGGGATTTCTCACCTCCCGCCTGCAGTCCACTCTAGCAGAGATGCAGTAGATATCCTCCAGTGAACAAGGGGATAAAACCTTTTTCCTCTATGGTTTACTAGATGGTAAAAAGGCAAAAAAACATGTTTTTTCAGTGTAGTCATGCTTGCAAACTGGTAAGATTTAAATCAGAATCGACCCGTACACATTGATTTAATTAGATGCAGCATATTTTTAACAACATACCCCAGCTGTGCCGTGCTTCTTAAATTTTAATGGAGGCAACAGCTTTTCTGCAGCTCCATTTCATTACTCACTCCAAGCAGAACTGAGCACAAACCTTGTTGGATTTTTTTTCTACTATTTCTACTAGTTTAAAAGTCATTTCTGAATTTGTCTGGCAGTTCTCGATTCCATCGAGCTTAGACTTTCAAGCACAGAGTTGGCAGACGAGCTCCTTCCTGCAGCACTGATCGGAGGCACAGAAAGGGGGGATTGGTGCACCACTGTGTGGAGCGGATTTCTGATGTTCCATGACAGACACGCTGCTTAACTCTGCTCTGCCATCGATCAACGCATCCTGGATACCCCCCTGTTTGGGGAATTTTCCAAATAAAGGATGTCAGGGATGGGGAGATGTCCCAGTTTTAGAACTCCAGATTGGTGCTGTAACAGGGGCCTGGCTGCTGTATGATTACATCTCACTGCGCCTGTGACACAGCGCAGGGTGCTCTGACAACTCCAGCACAGCGCACAGGGAGACACGCACGTTATGGGAGACCTTGGGGTTATTATTAGCACACAGGGAGGGAGGGGAGAAGGGGTAAAAATAGCCACAAACCCCGGCAGAAAGTCTTCAAGGCCATGCTAGTGTGTCTGAAATACTGGAGTCTTGAGGCAACACGCACGGCACGTTCACAAGGAGAGGTGAATAATGTAAGACTCTTTAAGATTGTAAGATTGCAGTCCTATTGGTTTGGCAGAGGGACAGTAATTAAGGCTCGCTCGTTGTATGGGTTTTATTGCCTTCCTGGACTAAGGAGTCTGATTACCTTGCAAACGCAGTGAACAGATGAGTGTGACAATGGATTTGAATACTGTGAAATAAAAACCACGAGCTAACGAGAGAAGACTGAGTGATTTTGTTCACCTCTGGCCCTTACCTGCCTCACCAGTCTTTAATGACCACAGGACCTACTTAAATCTGTGTAAAACGATTGGACAGCATTATTTGTGCTGTGCAGCATTTAAAGCTCATCAGAAGGAAACCAGCAGAAGATAATATTTTCAAATGAGTTGTTATTATAGGTCCCTTCCTTATTTTTCTGACATGTTTGCCTGTGTGGACTCAGGTTTGCTTATTGTTGTTATGTTTTTTCATTTTCGCTTACGAATGAGCTTTTAGGACGCCACACTGTTTGAGAAATTGGATGTCTGGCACTCTCTCCAGTTGTGTTGCCTGGAACAATACTTTTTGTCTCACCAGTTATTGAACACGGAGTGATGCACAAGAAAGAGACAGAGGGCATAGTCACCTGCAGAGTGGACTCGATCAACAGCAAGTCATTAATACGCACTGTACTCAGGACAGTTCTGGTTCGGTGTAAAATAGCACTGGGTAGATTCAGAGAATAAACAATATTTTTCCGTTTTTAAAGCACATTAATAATTTTCTGTAGACCAACAGATAGGAATGACACTCACCTCTGACTACCTTGGCTTATTAAGAGAGGAAAGTCAAGTTTTAATTTAATTATTTGTGCAGTTTGCTTTGTGATCATCTTCAGGAATTCTGGACAGATGGAAGTACAATATACTAAACCCCATGGCACAGAGACAGGGTTCATTTTCCAACATTTACTGTAGATCTGTCTGCGTCTATAATGCGGTGCGTCACATTATTTCCATACACCAGTAAATTGACTTCAATATACAGTGGGAAGAAAGCCTACAGAGGAAACCCCTGCTTTATAGACCATAAATAAGCAATTATCAACATCAACATCGGGAAAGTGGTGCATAAAAAAGATGTTTGATTATAAGGAAGTCGCTACCCCCCATTTTAAGCAGCAGACCAGAAACAGTTCACTTTTCACCCAAATGTAACTTTTCAGCCTGCGCGCACACACATTGCCAAGATCTATATTTAACTACAAGTAAATGCGTGTACTGTAATTAAACCATAAATACGTGGGTGACAGAACTGTTTATGTTTTGCTTCTGCGATCAGCCGGGGAGAGACGCCGCTGAAGCCCACCAAGCTCCCGGCGGTCCCGGAGCGCAGGGTCAGCCCAGGCCCGCTGCCTGCCAAGCTCGATACCTGTGCAGTCGGCTACACATCTTTAAAGCCTGCGAAGCTGGCCTGTTTTTATCTTTGACACGCGTTTCCGGGCTGTTTTCGTCAAGAGCGATAGGTAAGTTCCCCCCCTCAATCTCTCTTCATGCTACAGTTGCAAAATCCCGAAACAAAAATACTGTTCACTGAAACTAAAAGGCATAGGCCTACTACGAAACAGTGTGCTACAGTTTTACTACTGTAGCAGAATTATTGCCGTTAAACTTTAGGTTTTTTAACAACTGCTTTACCATTGGTAACGTTTACATTGGCCGTTTGTGGCGGTAGCGTCTGTGTTTGCGGTAAACCGGTAGTAGCGGCGTGGGGGGTCATCAATGCGATGCAGCCCTCCGGTGTCGGTCCGGCTCAGCGAGCGCTAATAGAACTGGGCTGGAGGCTGCGCCGCGAGGAGAGCAACTGCAAACCCCCCGACTCTCTTCACCGCGAGAGGCGCAGCTGGATTCAACGGGCCGTGCAGGCGAATGTATTTGTTTCATTTTTAATCTTGTATTCAATCTGTAGAGGGAGGGGGGCGCGGAGGTCCGTGCAGGTACGACTGACGCATTCCTTACTTTTCCGGTTCTCTTTGGAAGTCCGGTCATCAGGCGGGGGCAGCCTCGACCCCCTCTTGAAAATGTAAGGTAACGCAGTGACGCAGTACTATTCCTCCGGCTAAATGATCTTAACGTGAAAGTTACCCACCTGAGCAATAAACTAAACCAAATGAGGCTTTAAATTATGCATTTTCAAAAAGACGTAATGCACCAGATGCCTGTAAATAATTTATGCACCGGCCATATGTCGTTCCGTCAGGAAAGCTATTTTTAGTGAACGTTTTGCCAGTTTCTGATAAGAACAAAGCAAGGTCGCTGTAATACTATCGGAATCTGCGGAGCATTGACTGTTTTTGCTGCTAAAAAATAGTAATTCAGTAAATGTCCCGGAAGGATCTTGCCTTCAAAGTCCAAATTAGTGCGTCTACTTGGTTTCCCAATCTACACTGAGCCTTGCTCTCTGTACAATATATACAGTAGTACTCGAGGTCTTACACACACATATATGTTATATGTACTGTATCTCGACTGCATCTATTGGCATAAAGTCCGCTGGCAAAAGCGCCCACTAGGAAGATGACCGACAGTCTTATTGTGTGTGGAGGTTTATTTTCCCGAGTCTCATCTTTGAAAATCAAGCGGTGGCGTCCTGTCTAAAAACACGCCTATTCCAGGTGTTCTGTGGAAGGGACAGGGGAGCTACACGCCACTATTAGCTGAGAGAGCAGGTCGGTGTCGGTTTAGCCACTGTGAAGGAGTGGGTCTCTCCCTGCGCACTTACCTGTAGCCATCAGCACCTGTGTCGCAGCTTGGGCGAACCATCACTCCGAGACCCCGGCCTGTCTGCGCGCAGCAGAGGCCTACTCCCGACTGGGGCTGATTAAAGTGTGTTTCTTGGTTTGTCCACACCAGAGCTCAGAGCTCATCAAGCTTATCAAGCTTTTGCATTTACGTACCGGGTCATCACAGGACTTCGACCCTCCCAATAAAATACCGCATCGATCCTTAATGGCTTAAAAAAACCACTGTAATTAAGCACTAGCCGGAGCGAAGACTTGCAATGGGGTGGAATTGAAGAGAGGAGTTCGGCTACCCTTCGCCCAAATGCTAATTAAAGGTAATTTGAGGAAACGACTGTTGTTTTTCCCGCTAAATGCATCTTCAGGTAATAACAAAAATGCCGGCTGTTAAACCTGGCTAATTGCAAGGTTACAGTTCCCCACTAATAGTTGGGGCACTATTGACGCGTGAGGAGAAAAGCGTCTCGTGACACAGGCCTACTCGGCACACGGACCGACCGCGTCACTTCCGCTGAACGGGCCCGGCGGCGGCCGTAGGGGCTGGGTCTCCCGTCTCCCTGCAGGGAGACACACGAAGCGCCCGCTCCACCGCGGAACACAACAACACGTCAACAACAACAACAACGAGTGAAGAGATTTTCTGAAATGCGCTGTCGCGTTTAAAAAGATCATCTGAGCTGTCCCCCCCAACCCCCCAGGTTTTTTAGGAAATTCTGATTCTGGGTTGACTCGCCCCTCGGTGCTACAGAAAGAGTGCGTTGGAAGTCAAGCGTAAAGGCGAGAATTACAATCTTGTAAACACATTTCAACAGATTCTGTGTCTTAAGTGTAATCTGCTACGCTAGGATGAGTTTATAGGGAAGACGATCAGAAATTCCCCATGCCTATCCTCACTGCACTGGATCAGTGTTACCCGGTCCCATTGGCTTCGCTGGCTTAATTAACTGTGCCTTGGTCAGGGGTAGAGGTCTGGCGTTTTCCAGCCTGCTCTAGATCCTAGCTGTACACGTGGCTAATGATCGGGGAGAGGATGTGTAAGGGGTGGGGGTGCGGGGGTCTGCGCTCCTGCAGAAGAAATGCAGCCAAAAAGACGCTATTCACCATCGTAGCGAATACCAGCACCCACCCACCCCGGCAAGCAAAGGCACGGCGCACGTCTACGAGCTCCAACTCTTTATTGGAAGAACAAAAAATAGAGACCCTCCACCGCCCCCCCCGGCAGGGCAGCTGGAGATCCCTGCCATCACTTGCGAGCGGCGGATCACGTGACGCGCCCTGAGCTTGGCGAGTCCGACCGCCTGCTCCCAGTGTGGACTTCAGTCTGGAGAGCGGAGTCCAGCGGGAGGACAGCACTGCACTGAATTGCACGGCACGGCACGGCACAGCACAGCACAGCACGGCACAGCACAGCACGGCAGCGCCGTCGTTTGGTTGCGTCGGGTCGCCCGGTCAAGAGGGGTGGCCGCCCCTGACTGCAGAATCTCCCCCGCTCGGCTCTCCCGTCTCCCCGAGGCGCCGCTGGAGACGCGCCGCTCCGCTTAACGAGCCCACAGCACGGGAAGCGCGGAGCCGGAGAGCTCCGGGAAAAGGGAAAGATTCTCGGGTATCTTCAAAACCCAGACTGCTTGTGGAAGGTATTCCCCTTGTCGGTTCTGAACGAACACAGCAAACGTTTTGCGGTTGGGTGTGTGTGTTGTTTTTTTAAGACAGAAGGGGTTAGAGCCGTGGCGAATGGTGGTTTCGTCGTTGTGTTTAAACAATGCTCTGGTTTTAAAAGTACTTTTGGTCGCTTAGTTTATCTTGTGTCGGCGAGGCTGTGAACTTTACATCAAGGATATTATAAAGTCGTTAACGTTTAGGTACAGTTTTGAAAAACGAACCTAAAAAATGAAGGTATTTCCGTTCTGGTGTATTTGTGGTTGCTTTGTCACACCTGGATGTTTCTTATGTCGGTTGTCCAATGGGCTATGTTCACAAATAAAAATTAAACACCTATTTTTTTAGTGACAGGCAGAAATATTAAAACATCATTAAAGACCATATGGGCATCTGTATATCTCCCGAGTTGTGACAGTTTTTACCTGCAGTAGACTTGGGGACTTACAGTCACAGATCACCGCACAAGGTTGCACAGATGCAATTTCGATCTCGTAATAGTGGACCAGCAGTGAAGTTGTATTGAGCTAAAGTTGGTAGATTACAGAACACCAAAACCGCGCGTAATTACTAGCGAGAAAAAGATAAATGACTACTTAGGATATTATTTTTTTTCCGAACATGCGTCCAGGCTCTCCGGGATTCTGTTGTGTTTAAACAAAAGCATGTGTCATTAGCTGCTGAATGCGTCTCCTTGTTGCATTTGAATTTTTTTTTTTGCCAGCAGTCAACTGTTTACAGACTGCTGTTATTCAGGTAACTCTGCTCGGCCTTCAGCCTGTAATAGGGGTCGGAATCACGGGCTGCGGTGCCCAGTGTGGATTCCAGCGCTCGAAGGGCGATCTGTTAATTTAATTAATAATATATATATATGCAAGATAGAAACCCTGTTTTCTCTTTAAAGAAGAAATCTAAACCGTGCAAAAAACCGTGCCTTTTCGAACTGCATGTTAAAAAGGCTAGAATACGCTCAAGACTGCCTGGGAGTATAACTTCAGCACCCTGGACAGCACCCGTATTCAGAAGAAATACCGATAACGTGTACAGTGTCTTCCCTCGTTGTTTCGCTCTTGTCCTTCGGTGTCTTTCCGTTTCTCTCGGTTTCACGCTGCTTTAAATAAACTGTAGAAAGTTAAGGGAATTGTGTGCTATTTTTGTCAGCACCGCTCGATGCCCGCCGATGGTGCAGGGTGGGTGCAGCACTTTCTTTTTCCTCTGCTATAGATTGCTCACGGACTGTTGCCCTGGCCCGCACGAATTATAGCCGAGACAGAAAGCGAGCGGTGTGACAGGAACAGAACGTCCTCTGACACCGCTCGTTTAGCACCGGGACCCGAGTGCGACATGCTGTCCCCAGCTCTGGTTTCAGATGAGCGACGATGAGCAGCGCGCGTTTCTGCCATCAGACAAGACAGTAGACACACATCCTGATTCAAAATGTTTTAGAGCAGGGTTAACTGTCTTATAAAACTTGTTATCATGAGGAAAGCAATATCTACACGTGATCTGACGAGCTCTTCTAAATTAGTATGGCAGTTAAGACTTAAATGAGTTATACTTAAAACAGACTGTAAAGTTAATGTGCATTTGGTTGCAGAGGCTAGCTTGTTTTACCAGGTTAAGTTAGAGGTCAGTGGGCCCAGAGAGACAGAATTGATTAATCAGTATGTTCAACAAGAGAACAACTCCCTGAATCCAAACACTGATATTTTAACACCATTCCTCAACCACAACCAGGAAAGCTACAGTAGACCGGACAAGCGTCTGCTTTTCAAGCTGGCCTGAATCGGGCATCTGCACCCGTAAGTGCAGGTTTTGAATCCAAACCAACACTAAATTATTTATTGTAAAGTCTGCAGGACTTTACAGGTAAAGCACTCTTGTGTCCTATGTAAGGACGGGAGGTTGCTTTATGTGTAATGTAACGTAGTGTAGAAACAAGCTATATTTGTGAATCATTAATTTGAGACACTGTGTACAGTCTCCACTCTCACGGCACAGCATGTTGCTATGCAAGGAAGCTTGACGTTGTGCTCTGTGAAGTGTCTATGCAGAATTGGTTTAAAAAAACGAACCAAGCATTCGTTGAAACTCGCACCTGTACCTGTGCAGGTATTTTTAAATCCCAAGTCTGTTGTCCCCCACAGATGGGTGTTCTGGTACTGAGTCTGGCTCAGAAATTAGCAGCTCTGAAGCAGAACATCTGACATGCCACTGCTTTCTGTTTCTTGCCTTTAACAAGCAGTTCACAACCCATGTTAACCTCAAACGTGTTTACAGTATACTGTATGTGCATGTACTGTATGTCAGATGGCTGTCTGATTTCGTGCTCTATGTTATGCAAATGCTGTTAAAATGGTTTATGCACAGAAACATGCTCTTGGTATCCACGTTTTAACTGGATTTTTATATGTCCAGATTTATAGGTGAGTTTGAAGACATAAGACAGGCCTAGGTAAGAGATTGCTTACTTTAGATTTGACAAGAAATTGAATGCATCCATAAATGCTGGTTCATAACATACTGCTAAAAATACTGTTTAAAATCCATTTAATCCTTGAATGAAGGGCAGAATTACAAAAGTGAGTAAAAACAAAGTCATTTCACATCAAGACTTGTGTTTCTCGCTACCTGTTATTTAGCTCATGGACACTGAGGTGCTGGCACATAGAGGCACAGAACAGAACTGTACTGAACACTCTTTACAATCATGGTGAACACCGTCTGTAACTCCCAGACAGCAGAAATGTCAAGTGGCCTTGCAATCAGAGCAGATAAATTATTCACACATGGAATTTCTGCTAATTTTCCAGCTGAAGGGATGTTCTGGGAAATAATTAACTTTGCTTTAATTAAATTATTCTCTGATTATATCACAGTTATTAATGAAGGCGATATCAAACCCACTTTGTATCTTCTGAGTTGCTTCAGAAACGTAAACCCGGTCGGCAGACTCCTTCAGGGAAGGTGACCAAAGCTGATTTTGCTCAAAACCTCCAAAATGTTCACCCTGGCTGACTGCCACTCATGGGCTACCCCCTCCTTCTGTTTTCAGTTCATCCAAAAATGTTTGCTTTATGTTAATTGGTCCTGGCAGTCACATAGTTCTGTGTTAATTTGAAAATAAACAGAACCGCGAGCCAATTTTAACCCACACAGACTCAGACTGAAGACTTTCTAAGTGGGATTTGTTTTTGGTGGCATCTCAAAAGTAAGTCTTATTTGAAGTTCCTAAAATCAACATGACAGTCAACTGGATGTGTGTCTGGGATTATGCAATATGTTGAAAAAACGTTTAAACACATTTAAAAAAAATCAAGAAGACTTCAGGATATTTCGGTATACTTCACAGCCTAGTCACAGCATGCCTGGCTCCTGCTGTTGTTGACAGTGTGCCGAGGTATTCGTTAGCACTCACTGATCCAGCTTTAACTTTGGGGCACATTTTCACACTTACCTTCAGGTTTGTGTCCCGGAATGCATTGATTGGTATTCTGTGCATCTGCTAGTTCTTCTTAAACAGATTTCCTCTTCTGTAGACAATGCAAAGTGGGATTTTGCACATTGTCAAATATCACGGAAAATTACATTTCTGGCTAGGAACTGAAATCTGTTGCATGTTGAAGTGATAAGCCTCCATGCTGGGCTGAAGCAGAAATTAACGGCGGGCTCCTGCCCGGCAGAGGCAGAGGCAGTTGTGCTTCTGGATACAGTATAGGTCCTGAGGGCAGAGTATGTGCCGTGGCTCCATCCTTATCATGATTCCCCACAATTTGCTGCTGTTGCGTGGAACAGGAACGTATTGCCACTTGTTGCCACACTCTCCGTTAGCATCTGCTATTTATGCTTCATTAGCAAAGGAGGTTTAATCGAGTAACAGACAAGGAGTCGTTCAGTTCCCTCCAAGCCTTCCCTTGAGGTACAGTTGAAAAAATGCAGACGGCTCTGAAGCCATTCAGAGAATGAAAGGTCTGTCTTATGTTTCTTGACTGATAAAATGTAAAAAGAACAACGCAAATTAAAGAGCTCTGAAAGTCCCTGGACATACTGTATTATAGGCATGAGCTCTTGCATTATGATGTTTTGCCAGCTGTCTGGCTTTGCCGTGTCAAAAGGAGGTTTGCACTTGTACCCTCTCCTGCTGTCAGTGTCTGTCAGTTCCTAATTAACTCGGTCCTTGAGGGTCTGGCTGTCGGGTGGCCAGCTAGCTTGGATTGAATCTAGTGGTGTCCAGTTGCTCTGGTTCAAATATATTCAACAAGCTGGGTCACTGCTCTGACAGCACTGGGGCTTAATTGAATAGTTGTAGCTTCTTCACTTTTTTCCTAATTATATTTCTGCGATTCCTGATCATTTCTAAGCAGTTCAAACGTTTTGAAAAGATGGTTTTATAAATTTGTTACTCTTTGTTTTCCTTTCACTGTCAAGCAAAGAGAGGAGTTCTGTGTGTGCATTTCCTGAAAGAGCTGATAAGTGCTGTGGACGGAATGAGTCCTGTTTTTTATTAGTAGTCTTCATCGGCACTTTATGTGTCTGTGACATGATGACTGACTACAGAAGAGCTTAAATGAAGACCCCCTTTGACAGGTCTTCATTATGCTGTGTAAGAATTGCAGATGGTAAATTTCTGAGAGTATGTAGCATGATGCTGTTTTATCTGCAGTAAGAAGCCTGAAAGAAATGGCCATGAAATTCTGCTGGTTTTAACAAATTAGACATTTGCTCTGTGGTTGAGCCCACTGCTGTGTTGCATGATTTAAATAACATAAAGGAAAACCTCTTAAATTTTATAAAGCACTAAGAGAGAAGAAAGGATTCAGTTTGCTAAGTAGTTTAAAAGCCTTGCCAGTCATCTTTAAAAGGAAAATGCTTTTGCCCTCAGTGTTTTTAGAGCAAGCCTTTAGAGTCCAGGCAGGACTGGAAAAAGACCAGAGAAGCTTCATTTACTACCCAGAGGAAAACAGATATAAGATTTTTA